AACCAGTTCACCTCAGTAGTGCGTTGCGAAAAAAACAATGGAAAAAAATATTGAACAAAGAGTTTGCATCAAATTTTGTTTTTCGAACGAAATTTCGTGTGCAGAATCGTTGCGAATGCTACAAAAGGCTTATGGGGAATCAGTTTTATCGAAAACTCAAGTTTATGAGTGGTACAAAGCCTTTCAGGACTGTCGTACGACCGTCGAAGACATGCCGCGTTCTGGACGACCTTCGACCTCTACCACCGACGAAAACATTGAAAAGGCAAAGGAAATCGTGTTCAAAAATCCTCATGTGAGTGTTAGAGAGATAGCACGAGAGCTAGGCATCGGTCGTGAGATGGCTCGTTTGATTTTGGTGGACAATTTGTGTATGCGACGTGTCAACGCCCGGCTTGTTCCGATTCACCTCAATTTGTTCAACATTATCAACGATTTTAAGGCCAAACATTCAATAAATACCATCGAACAGCCACCGTATTCACCTGATCTTGCACCGTGTGACTTTTTCCTGTTTCCCAACCTCAAATTACCACTCAGAGGAACGCGTTTTGAATCCATAGAAGACGTAAAACAGAATTCGCAGAGGGAACTCAAAGCCATACCGGAAAGCGCCTATAAAAAATGTTTTTATGATTGGAAGAAACGTTGGCATTTGTGTATCGCTTCTAATGGAGCATATTTTGAAGGAGATAAAATAAATATTGATGAAGATTAAGAATTTTGCGTTTTATTTAAATTTTTCCGGAAACTTTTCGGTCACAATGTATGAATATAGATTTGATTAATATTATTTAATATTTATTACTTCAAGGTAAATCATGACATCAAACGCCTTGTTAAATACTACAATATACCTATATACATATTTCTGAAATGTATAAAAATTTCAAAAAATATTAATAATAAATATATTTATATATATAAATATGTATATGTTTTTGTCATGTGAATAATATCAATGTGTTTATAAAAATCAAGAAACTAATGATTAAAATAATACCAAACTTATTGTAATTATCTTTGTAGAGTTCTGATCCTGGCGATGAATTTCAAGGAGAGTCGCTATATATAATATATTAAACAAAACATTTAAACAAACATTTAATTTAAGCAAAAGAAGACCTGTAGCCGGATATAAATATATATACATAGAAAAACATTATTGAAAACAAGTTTAGTTTTCGAATGAAATTATTTCTAATGGAGTTTGATGATTAGAACTACAATTTGTTACAAATTTCATAATTTTAAAATGATATCATTTTTAGTGGTTTCTCAACAAAATAACATTTAGAAGAGAATTGTTTAGTTTCCGAACTAAATCATTTTCATTTAAGAAGTTCCATTAAAATTATATTTATTCATGAATGAGTTGAGCTGTCATTTATCAGGCGAAAATAATCCAAAAGTAATGTAACAGATTTGCGTTTTTTTTTATATTAAAGAAAATGTTTGGATCTTAAGTCATGAAAACAAAGGACATTCATATTGTTATTTAAATCTATTACAATTATAATCGTTTAGTGTAATCGTATAAAACATTAAATGAAGCTGCACTTTATTAACAATCAAATCCCTCGAGCAAAATATTAATAACTCAATATATTTTACTTTATAATAATATAAGATACATTTATTATGCTCGAATTATTTCACTTAAGAATTTACAACAGAATATGTCAAAAATTACAACAACATTCAGCCATTCAAAGTTATTTAGCAACAATTTAATAAATTTTAAGAGAATCGTGCTGGAGTAGTCGTCTTATTCACATTCATAAAGACTTTTCCCTATTTTCCATAAATAAATAGCAAAAAGTATTTAAAACAAACAATTAACCAGGAAACACAATCCTGATGTAATAATAATAATCTGCTTGCATAATCTTCCTATCCTCCCCAACCCAACCCACCCCACACACATTAATCTTCTCAACATATTCGTTACGCCTCAAATTCGGCAGGATTTCATCCCTTAAATATTCAAAATTCAAAAGATTTTCCAACAAAAATCAAAAATCTTTTATTTTCAGTCTTTTGTTTAATTTATTTTTTTAGAATGTGAAAGCGGTGTGCTTAACCCTCTGGTAGCTCAACTTTAAAGTTTTGCGAAGTTAAATTTTGAATTTGCTCAGCATTTTTTCCAGGAATACTCATCTGCGCGTTGCTCGTATCCTTGCTGTTGTTACAGCTGAAGATTTCACTTGTTTAGAAAATTGTTGGATTCATGTTGGTGCTTTTTCCCGCGTGTCAATGTGTTTGTCCGTTTTCCGGTTCAACTATTTGCATTGCACACGTATTTGTATGCCGGAGCTCGGGACTCATATCCGTACATCCGAAAATTGTGGAGAGACTGTGGGGTTACACACTCATTTCCACTCCATTTTTAATATGTGTTTATAATGCTTTGTAATGAGTCTTAATTTATGTGAAGTAATAAATTTCAGAGCAGTTTCCTTATTTGCTTTATTAAAAACGTGACTATGAATGCTTCAGAATTTATTTTAAATGCAGTGAAAAATGTGTACAATTTTCCGAAGTTACTATTCTTTATGAAGTTTCGAAGCGAAAGATACAATATTTAAACATTTTAAATTTTACATAACGAAAAAGTTACTTTATAATTTTAGTTAAGATATATGTTGGCATGAAATTTCAAAATGAATCTGATCAATATAGATTTAATTGTCAAAAAAAATATTTCTACATTTATTAAGAAAATGTTTGATTTATGTATAAATATTTCTTTTTTTTTTTTTTTGCAATTGAATATATATGTGACCAGTGTATACGTTCCAACCAATTGGTAAGCCATCAGAGTGAAGAAAGCCTTTAAAGAAGCCTTTTAAGATTAATGGTTATGTTTCTGTGTGGTTATTGTCTTAAGATAATAGATTCCAATCGAAATTGAAAAAGAAAAAAAGATTAATACAGTCCCCTTAATGCATACGAAATAGTAGTATACATATAGAATAACAAAGATTTCGCTCATTAAATAATACATAAGTGATAGAGAACTTAAACTCTTTGTTTGAGTTAAGAATATCACAAACACTAAACTAAACTAAACTAGACAAACCAATCTTATTCGAGAAGGACAGTGTTAAAGCCTCAGAACATTTGAAGTAGAAGAATGAATATATGTATATATGTGACGGTAAAAGTTCTACTGACAACATCTATATCCAAAAATCCTGCACCGATATTTAAAAAACATCCTTACTAATGATTTAAAACACTTATTCTAAATACTGAAAACAATTGTTTTAAGTTCTTACAACTAAAAACTGCGAGACCTTCCAAGTCATTATGAAGAGTATTTTGTATAAGCTATATGGGTTCTTCGCAAAAAAAAATTAATCTATTTTAGTTTATAACAAAACTATGTTATGTTAACTCTCCACATCGCACTTGAAAATGTGATTTAAAGTCCCTAATAGAATTAAGAGTTGCAATATTCACTAAGCATTACAAGTACTTACATACGCTGATGATATCGTTTTTGTAACTCGTACCCCTACTGCACTACGAGAGATATTACCTGTTACGAAAAGAGTTAGCTTGATAATTGAAAGATTGAAAAGATTGAATTGAGAAACATCTCAACTAAAAATGGAAAACGATAAGTTCGAGGTAAATAAATGCTTTATATGTTTAGAAATAAATATTAAAGACGGCAATACTATCAATAAAGTAGTTTATAAATAAATTTTTTCAACTCAAAATACGTAACACGACTTAAAAAGAAAATCGAAGGCCGAGCTATATAAGACCCTTGTTAAACTAATATTTTTCTAAGCGATTTAAACATAGATGCAATCCATAAAACATATATCTGCCTTAACAGCTTTTGAAAATTAAGTTTTTAGGAAGATATGTGATTCAATATGTGAAAACGGTACATTAACGAAATTTATTAACTTTGTGACGAAACAGATATCATCACATATATATAAAACTCGTTCGATTAAAATTGACAGGACATATATTCAGATAAAAGAGAACAATACATTTAACAAAATACTGAGTATGAACCTAGCTCCCTCACGATCTGATTCCATCTGTCTCTATATGAAGAACAAGCAATCGAAGAAAATCATGTTCAAAATATACGAACAATGAAAGAATTGACGGAGGAAAACAAATCAACAAGCAGTGAGCGAACACAAGAGGCAGATGACAGATGAAGCAGACTCCTTGAGACAGTTAGGTGGTGGCTTGCACTGCTGCAACTACTATTTTAATACACCTTATAATATCGATTAACATTACTAACTATTACTAACTTCATACGCTAAGGGCGAGCAATATTTTTAACACTATATATATCGGATATTATAATCTTAATTATCCAATGCTATGCAATTTATTCGAGCAATTTATTATCGAATTTTAAAACAACAGCATAAAAAATATATTTAATATCCTAGTCATATAAACATCCTAGTATGCCTTGCAAACATTAAATATGCTGTAAATTCGTTTCAAATATACTTCATTATTAAAAAAAATATCAAAAAGAACGTTTCAAAATTGTTCTCCTAAAAAAATAAATACAAAAAAAAAATTTTTGTTTTTCGGAAATTCTAATTCTTGATCAAGACTAAACGTTATCAATAGGTTAAACAGAGTTTCGGTACCATGGCGGACAATCTAAACGAGGAAAGCGTTGCATATTTGAGGCAAATGTTCGAAGTTGCAGACACAGATCAGGATGGCTACATCTCATCTGAAGAATTTATGAATATTGCTCGTTTAGTATGTCAAGGTGCAAATCAAGCTATAACAGATGCTGAAATTCAAGCCTTGATTAACGAACCTGGATCGGATGATGGCGATAAAATTGATTTCTCCAAATTCGCCAAACTCATTGCACCCAAGATGTTTACGGATGACTGCTCGAAGGAGGATTTGGGAGAGGTCTTTCGCTGCATTGACAGTGACCATGATGGGTTGATTACAGCTGAGCAGCTAAAAAAAGTAATTACGGATAGCGGTGAGAGTTGCACCGATGAGGAAATTGCTGACTTAATGCGTATGGTCGATGTAGACGGTGATGGGCGTATAAATTTGACGGAGTTTATTGCAATTTGGAATTTGAGAGTTGAGTGACTCTTTGTTACATTTGGTTAAGAAAAACGAGCTTTATCTTCAAGTTTTTATATAGTCTCGCTGATTTTTTTGTTGCATTGAAATCCCTTTAACTGGGAAGAAATTAATTTATGAATAAAAATTAGAATTCGTTAAATATGAAAATAATCTAATTTCATTGAGATTTTAATTAAATTTATATTTATTTATAAGAATAAAAACTATGTACTAAGTTCATCGATAAACTTGGCTTGTACTAACAAGCCAAAGGTGCCATTGATTTAATTTAAGATTAACCAAACGAAATGAGATGAAGTAAATGGTTTTAACATGAACTCAGTCTTTCGGTTTCAAGGTTTATAAATGTGATTTTGCTTATGTTGGTCTGAGTTCTAGAGAACAAGTTCGATATTTATTATGTTCTAAAGTTGTCATAGAAATGGAGGACTAATAGCAACGAAGTTTTAGCTAAAATAGATTGCTTAAAAAACACATTTCTTGTCTGATATCTGAATTAAATTTTATTCAAGTAGGTTAATATTTCAGTATAGCTCTTATATTACTCGTAGGTACCACAGCAGCTAATAATAGTGAAATGCAGAATTTAAAAAAAAGTCACTGGAATACACTGATCAGAATTTTAACAAATTTGATTGCTGATCAGAAATCATATCAGCAGTCTGTCTATATATATATATATATATATACGATATTTTCTGGCTCACATAAAGGAAATGAAAATGGATATTTTTCGACTTAGATGAGGTAAAGTCTCTCCATTTCATTTATAAAACCTGCTTTTCAGTTCCGCATTTTCTGTTTTATCATATTCATTGATAACTATATATCTTTCTCTACTAAAAATTAATTGATTAAATATATTTATTTTGCTAGCTTTAGAATTAATAACAGGCTCTATAAACATAGTAAGATACAAGGTAATAATCCAATCTGTTTTCTTTATTCATTATTCATAAAGGCCTGAGGCAATGCGATGCAATACGGTGTAATATATTCTAATAGAACTAAGAGGAATAATATTCACTGAATTATTTATTATTATATACATATTACAACTTTCATTATATATATTCATTTTTCTCTACTCCCTTTCTGTAGTACCACAACGGATCAATTTAGTCTAAGTGTGTGAACTGCCAACTTAAGAAGTCAATGGCTCTTACTTACCAATCAATTGCCTGCCTACCTACTAATTCTTATAAGAATACAAATTTTTGGAAAATCTATTTTGATATTAATTTTAAGAGTTTTAAAACTAAATTAAAATGACATTAAAGCGATCATAGAAGAACTTTAATATATAATTTCTTTGGAGCTGTACACAAGACAAGTGAATATATATATAAAATTAATATTTATACAAAAGAAAAAAGAGTAATGAGATCTAACAATAAAATATATTATTAATTAATTCAATTATTTAACCTATTTTTGATTTCTTTCCAATATAACACAGCAGCGAAATTAATTAGTGAACCCGGACAAATTAGAACAGCATAAGTCAGATAGAGTGTGGGGTCAGTTCTCTGAAGCGTTACCCTGAGCCCAAATCTGGTAAGGTTGAGATCAGATTATGTACAAGAAATAATCGAAAAACTACTAATGAATCATATTTCGGTCAGACAAAAATTTTATTAATTTGAAAAAAAAAAAACCTTCCCATTTTATAAATATTTTATTAAAAATATTGCTTATTAAATGTAAAATATGAATAAAAATTTTTTCAATTTTATTGATCTATTTATAAATTTTTAAAACAACCAAAAAATGAACAATATTAAGTCGACTGTGTATAAAATATTATGTTTCATTAAAAACTACTAAAATCAATTATTGGATTTTGTGACACTATACTGTAATTTGCAAAAGACTTTACTTGTACTTCTATCCTTATAAAAGTTATGAAAAAGAACAATAAATCCCTAAATGGGTCCACCACTGAACCGTCCCTAAATGGGACGGCACTTATCAAAAAACGACGATTCTCTCACTTCTCTAATCCTTCAAGACGCAATATAACTTATTGTTAATTTATTTATAAAATATATTTAATACCTTTTTTCAATCAAAGTTATTTATTTATTTCACTATTTACTTATTTATATATTTAACTATTTATTTAATTATATGTTTAATTAACTATTTATTTAATTATTTCTAAATTTTATTTCATTTAGTAATTCATTACATTTTTTAATTATTTATTTATATTTATTTATTTTTGTATTTATTTATTTTTTATTTTGCTATTAATTTTTCATATATTTTTTTTTATTTATTATTATACTAAATTAATTTTTAACTTCCCTTTTGACGAATAATAATATAATACTAGTATATAACTATGTACTTATATAGTTCACAAAGTAATTTATACAATTAGTAATAGTTTATAATATAAAAGTATTGAATTGCATCAACAATATTTTTTATTATTCTGAATTAATTGATTTCTTGGCTGACTATATAGCTGGTCGAGTATTGCTAAATACCCATCATCAGTGGTATAGAAATTTATTTATTTATGGTACTTAACTATTTATATATTTATTGCTTCTTTTATTTTTACATTTATTTATTTGTTAATTTCTTATATATATATTATTCATTTGTTATATATATATAGAATAGTATATATTTATTTATCTCTTGTGTCCTTACTAATTTTTGTTTAAATATGTGAGTATAACAAAAATTTTTTATTCTTCAATGAATTTTCTACTTTTATTTATTTAAATATTCATTTATTTATTTTATTTATTAATTGGTTATTTTACTTTTTTACTCATTTACTTATTTAGTTCTATATTTATATATATAAATAAATATATATTTACTTAGTTATATATCAGTTTATTCGTCACCAATTTCCTTGACAATTTATTAATAAATTTATTATATTATTTATTTATTTATAATTTCTTTAATATTATTTTCACTTATTGTTTTATTTATTTATTTAATTAGCTATTCATTACTTTATAAAACATATTTACTTATTTAGTTCTATATTTATATATATAAATAAATATATATTTACTTAGTTATATATCAGTTTATTCGTCACCAATTTCCTTGACAATTTATTAATAAATTTATTATATTATTTATTTATTTATAATTTCTTTAATATTATTTTCACTTATTGTTTTATTTATTTATTTAATTAGCTATTCATTACTTTATAAAACATTATTTATTTATTTAGTTCTATATTTATATATATAAATAAATATATATTTACTTAGTTATATATCAGTTTATTCATCACCAATTTCCTTGAGAATTTATTAATAAATTTATTATATTATTTATTTATTTATAATTTCTTTAATATTATTTTCACTTATTGTTTTATTTATTTATTTAATTAGCTATTCATTACTTTATAATACATTATTTATTTATTCATATATTATTTTAGTTAGTTGTCATTTTATATATATTTTTGTTAACATATTTAGGTACTTATTAATTGTTTTTAATAAATTTTAATATGCTTATATATTAATTTATATTTAGTTATTTATATACTTTATTTATTTATTTTATTTATTTGTTTTGTATTTATTTATTTATGAGCCTCAATGTCATTTTTATTCATCTCGTTAATTATTTGTGTCTTTATGTATTTCATTAATAATTTACTTATTGCTTAGTTTATTTTTTCCATATTAATTTATTATTTTATGTAATTATTTAAGTACTGTTATTGTTATTTATTCAATTTATTAGTTATTAATAAAATAAACTAATAACAAATTTAATTAGTGAATGAGCGTAACATTCACTTATGATGCTTTCGATTGATGAATCTGGATGCAATATAGATTTACTCTCGATCTCTCGGAACGATTAATTGACAGAGCAATCGAACATTTTTAGATAAATCTAACCATCTTGTAGTTATGTGAATGGGCAATTTTATTTTTCATAAATACATATGTCGAATCAAATCACACTTTACCTGTCAAGCCATATAAAACAGCAGTTAATTTCAGAGTAATAGATTAATAAAAATTAAATAATTATAAATTAAATAAATTAATAAATTAAATTAAATAAAATAACTACTAAATTTATCTCAAGTGTTAGACATTCAAGTGCCTCAGATTCACCAATCGAAAATAAAATTGCACTAAAAAAGTGCTTTAAAAGAGCGTATCTACCAATATATTTTTTCCCTATTCGGTTGGGTAGTAAGGCCAGTTTCTTCCAAAAGTTTAGCAATTATCGGTGCAAACCTATCTAATAAAGACCTATTGAATTGTTTTTCTTTTTATCACGACAAAAAATTAAAATTCAATCCGATCATTGTATTAATCTACTTTCATATCTTCCAGCTGAATGGATGTTATTCTCTTATACTATATTCCGTGATGTTCTATCTATTTTTTTAGCTTTCTATCTATTAGCTTTCTATTTAGCTTTCTATCTAGCTTTCTATCGGTTTTAATGTTTTTTTTTATATATGTATATTGATTTTCTTAATCAAGTAAATCAAGTATTATTTACAATTGGTACTTTATATAGAGCATAGATTGTGAAAGATATATTAAAAAAAATTAAATTCAAAAAAATTTTCAACAAATTAGTGAACTTCATGTAAATGATATATAGTTAGTATCACTACATGTCTACCCCATAAGCATAGATATATCTTTTCTTTTTTGTTTCTTTTGTTGCTTGTGAAGCAAAGGATAATATACCTTACTTACTTAGTATGATAATATAACTTCCATAAAAATATAATATGTGTTATGCTCTAATAGTGAGACCTTTGAAATTCTATCAATTATTTCAACTATCTGTCTGTTTTAGTAACCTTAATTTCGTCTTTTTGATCATATATTTTTGATTTTTTGTTAAAATTCCTTCTTTATCTCATTAAGACCTAAATGAGTCGTATCTTAGCTTTAATTGCTATTTATCTCTCGCTTTTTATATATCTTTCTCTCTCTTTTTTATGGATTGTTTAGGAATCGTAATCTTGACAAAAC